AGGTATGCGCGTAAAGATTTCACATCAAGCATCGGCATAATTTGATTCATTTTTTAATTTAAGATTATTTCACCAGTTATAATTATACAATCTAATATATTTCGGTCTATGAACCTTCAGTGAAATACTGGTTTTCTTTTAATCGATTAGGTAGTTATTCAAATTGGGCAAGTTTCAAGCAGACGCAAGGCGAACTACCAACATAAATTTTTTTCATTAGGGTTTTCTATGATTAGTGATTACAAATCAATAGCTCCAGTATTGTTCATGTTTTTATATGTTTTAGACTAAAAATAATCAGTAAATTATAGGCTTTAATTTTAGTTATTAATCGTTTAAATCGGTAAAGCTCAAGATACTGTATCAATAAGTAGGTACTCAATAAAAAATCATAAATTTGATTATTTATCAGATGTTATATTTATTTTAACGCTGCGGAGCAGCATGGGTCCTCTAGTTTTCTATTATCTTAATTTAAAAATTCCATGATCAAGTACACTGGTTGATTTATGAGCCAGTTCCAAAGTTCCTTTTTCAGTTTTTTTTCGTTATATGTATTTATGTGCAGTGGTAGGGAATTTAGAATTTTGCAGCCAATATACGATGGTTTCTTGCTGAATTTTGTGGTGTGATGGATTGAACTCGCAAATCAATAACAAAAAGGAAAATATCAGACGGATGATAGAGCATATATTAACACTAATACCGAAACCCTACTTAGGCTGATGTTAACCGAAACCCCCAGTCTATGAGACCCCATTTGAAAAATAATGGACCCCGCTTAGACACACACAAACCGAAACCCTCGGCCTGTGAGACCCCGCTTTAAAATACACTAACGATGGGCTTCTGAAACGGGCATGTTATGAACAGACAACCTGTCAAGGTCACGGCACCCATGAAAAATGAACAAACAATATATCAATAGGTAGGGGAGGAAAAGGGGGGAAGGTATTGGGGGAATGGAATCTCCCAAGTAAACAGTGTTGCCAACATGCATTTTTGAAAATTCCCGTGGGCCTGTCAGACTGGGGTTTCGGTATTAGTGTTAAACAAAACCCCGTACTTGTGGTAATCAGATGAAAGCAATTTTGGGAATGTTCCTGTCCTGAAAAATTAAATGAAAATAGTGCTATCGGTGATGTATAATTTTTATTTACATAAAGACTTATTAATATTTTTTTCCAATAGCTTTTTCTTAAACTTATTTGTACAACCCACAGTGTATAGCTCTAATGAATAAGGACATGAATAGGCCTCTGTTTTATGGGCTCATGGTCTAACTCTGAAAAATTTAATTTCAGTTGATTTATTAATTTACCTAACCCGCCATGTTAAACATCCCTATTCCCAAGCGTGATGTATACAACTTCTTTACTTCTCGAGTGATGTAAAGTTGAAAAAAACTCACTCGGTGAGGTAATGAAACCCATTTAAATAACATTGATTGCTTAGCTTAAAAAATATACCTCTATGGAGCCAACGACGTTTAATGCTAGAAATCAGCCGTGCGCTTGAATTTTATTGTTATAATTTGATGAATTTTCCTAACCTAGCTTTTGTTTGTTTGAACGTTACTGTTAGAAGATGAGTGAAATGGATAATGAAAAATATTGTTCGTAACCTCCTGTATATTGTCGGGTCAGGTAAAATCTTGTACGTTACACGTTACGCAAGAGCGTGTTTACATCACTTAGGTAAATTATACAACTCGTTTCCGCTCGTTGCAAAACATTCACCTGCGTGTTGTAATAACGCTCTTACTACACTTGTAAGGTAAATAGCTATTGCACATTTAATGTAAACAAAGACGTAAACCATTACCTAATTATACCATACACTGATTAATTGTAGGTTTCATAACATAACCAAAGAGTAATGTACCCACTGTGAAATTTACCCTAAGATAAGAGAAAAACATCAGTACATTCAAACGTAATCAGATATGAAATAAATTTCAAAACATGCTTGAACTTTAACTTTATGAAAAGTCTGCTTTCAGGATCCTAATTTGGGAAAACTCAGTTAATTATTTTTAAGTAACCATTAGGGATGGTCAAGTCTCGAAATTTCGGGAAATTTTAAATCTCGTTACACGAGACGAGATTTCTTTTTGGCCGAGATTTTTATCGAGACGAGAATTAAAAAAAAAAAAAAAAAAAAAATTAAAAACGCCTGCAGAAAGTCAATGCAATACCCGCAATACAGGAGTGTGTTGTAGTTGCGTTTCCTTTGCGAAGGCGTTCTTATTTAATTAATGATATAAATGTAAATATTACTTTAATTATTTTAATAATATTACTTTAATAACATTTGAGAAGTTTTGTTAAGTGTAAGCAGTGTGAGGAATGTTTTATTACTATAAAAAGTCAAAACAAGTAACTATTTTATAAAAATTAATATTGCTTTTATTTTATGATTTATTTCATTTTAGGATAAGTTGAACTCTATCCTAACTGATATCACTATGTTTCCTAATCGTAGGCATTTTTAATAAGTTAGGCGTGATTAATAAAAAAATGTTATGCTGATGTTTTTTAATAAAAGATTGTAAATATTCTTGCCTATTATCATTATTTTTGTATTTAAACAGTCATCTAACAATGTTACAAAATCAGGTAAAAATTTTGAACGTGCATTTCCCGTTGTGTATGAGAAGGGAAATCCCGTCTCGATCTCGTCTCGAAATTTTATGAGAAATAAAAAATCTCGTCTCGTCTCGTCTCGAACTAAAATTTCAATCTCGTCTATCCCTAGTAACCATTAAGCTCAATCATCCTTTATTGTTATCTTTACAAAACAATTTAACTATTTAATAGTCAGTTAATGCAGTGGGTGACATTTATTGGCAGTTGTAAATTATTGTATGTCAACTTGTGTTATGTAAGACAACATGTTGGACATTGATAGATGTGATAAGATGGGAGTGAAACCTCCGTTATTTTCTGTGTCATCTTTTTATTGGGACTCAGTATGTAGTGGCACATGTTATTGTGTAGACATCAGATAATGTGCGTTACGTTAATGTTGTGTGCTTTTAAAATTAATCAATGATTAGATGGCATGTTTTCAAGTTGGGTGGTTCAATTCCAGTTTGTTGTATTTTTTACTATGTGCTGTTTCAGTGATGGATCTTTACAAGGTATGGAAGTTTTGTTATTTTTATACACGTATTAGTCTTACCCTTTCCTACAAAACTGTAGATTGTTGAAAAATAACATTAACACAACTGAATTGAACCACCGACAGTGTATGCCGCTGTCAATTTCAGCACCGATTTCTGTCAAAAATGTCGAATTTTTAACCAAACCAAACTGCATAGACAACTTGGTGTACATTATAGCATCTTTTAAATCACAACTTTCAGAGTACCAATAAATAAAGGAGGAGAAACATTTTTAACACATTTCCTACCAGCCGTCACACTCCTCTGTATGAATTTTCTCGCGGCATCTGGTAGTGAATGTGTTAAATTTGGTGAACCGCTCATCCGACTTAAATGTTTAAACTGGAAACTTTCAAACATACAGGGTGGAAAAAAAGTCCAAGAAGGACAGTTAGATAAAAAAAAATTAAAATAGAGCTACAAAACTTGGTGTTTAGGAGGTTTTTTTTACCATGAATAGTCAACAAATGTTTATAATATTCTTTGATTTATTGTAGACTTCTTGTGGAAAAATCTTCTTGTTGTAAACTCTAAAGAAACTGTTAACAACAATTTAGTATTGTGAACAAAATTATTGTTTTAACTGTGGTTTTAAATATGTGTTTTAAACTCCAGTGTGGGCACATCTTTACTATACCTTTGTCCACCTAAAACATGGTTAAAATAATACAGTACTGTATTGTATTTTTACACTGTATTCATATGAAGAAAACATTACTTAAACTGTTTATTGGTCATAGTTTGGCCTTAGGTGGCTGTAGGAATCAATTGAAGTACATGTCAAACCTGAGTTGTGTAAGTAGTAGATTTTTATCAATTGATAATGTAAAATCTTAATCTTACCTTAGCAATCCTTATTGTGGTTATCCGATATTAATTTCCGGAGTCTAGGGAGACCAATTACTTATCATTTTAGGATCCACCTGTCGCAACGTCCTCCCTGACTAAAGTGAGGATATCCCACTTTTTGAAAACAATGGTTTTTATACCCCTAATCTTTGTACAATATTCATGTCGACTGTAATTTATATCGTGTTAAATGTCAACATACTTTCTACAAAACCCATCGGGTGGATCCTAAAATTATAAGTATTTGGTCTCCCTAGACTCCGACTGAAGATGGACCTTCGGGTCCGAAATTAATTTTGGATACCCACAATAAGGATTGCTAAGGTAAGATTTTACATTACCAATTGGTCATATATAAGCAATCCCTAAAATGATTGATAGTAGATTTGCTAACGAACAATTTCTCACAGACATCGCAGTGATTAGACCAGCCAACAAGTCCGTGTCCGCAGCCCATGTCAGATCCAGCCGCAGACTGTGTGCTTGTCGCAGATACATATGTAGTTGTTGTCTCAATCTGTCCTTCATTCGTCGCTGGAAAGCACTCGGTAAAACAATCATTTCTCAACAGTTTAATCATGTTTGTGTTACATTTCTGGTCCAATATGTGTGTTGCTTTCTTATGAATTACTCTTTAAATACTTTTTTTAAATACTTTAAACACTCAAATAGTTTACAACACAATCAACATGATATTTGGTTCGCCCCTGCAATGATGCTTCTTCAGAAGAGAGGAGTAAAATGCATTTTTTTCTATAAAATTTTTTTTTTTATGTTTTTTTAATGCAGTTTAACTATGCAGCTAATAACTTTTTTTTATTGTCTAAAACCAATTTGTTTACATACCATAATTAATTGGAATCTCGAAGACTATATCTTTGGTCCAGAACTGATTTGCAACGTTCCAATTTGAAGGAGGGCACTATAGCCACTTGGCTACTCTGACAAATGAAATTACCCCTAAAATCCGTGTTTACTCAGAAATATGTTTGCAGGATGTTTCAATATCCAAAGTCTACCTGGAAACCTCAACATTGTGCTGAGTTTTTCATTCAACCACAAACACATTGCTGTTTTTCCAATTTACTCAGGTGAGTAATTTTGTTCATAATATCGTTCTGTTATCCCACAAAGTCCTCATTCTATTGAACAAATAGAATGCACCCAGTAGGCTGGCCATACTAACCGTTTGTTGTCTTAAACAGCACAGAATTTTTACCACAATTCGTCTTTGCCTTTTGCGTCTTTATTACTAACGCCTCCTTTCTCCACGTAACAGCTAGGCAGCAATCCTGGCAACTACTTTCAACCAACTTGAAATTATTTTAGTTTTAAGGAATCCATTTAAGGAAGACCACTCTGCAGTCATTACCACAACCATTGTGTTTAAAACATGCACATTTTCAGTATCAATGATTATTTTATATACCAATCTGTCTGAGCTCTGTACTATGACCACAGTCAGTGCAGCTGGCCACTTGATTAACCAGAGTAGATTTTTTGACTGCAACGTGTTAATATAGAGGACAGCGTATTCTGTTTTGTGAGTGTATTATGTGTCATTGCCATCTTATTTATGAGTAAATAGGTTAGGTGGGAAGGCTGTTAAAGGGTTTAACAACAAATCTCTGGTAATCCTGAGATTCAAGTTAAGTCAAATAAATCTTTATTCAGACATACATAATGTGTACATGAATGCGTCTTAATCTTAAACTATAACTAATACTAAAACCATTTTCCTGATCCATTTTATTTTTCTTGTCTTACTCTGGTTTTAGACACTAACAAATTGAGATGATTGCTAAATTATCACCGATTTCTATTATAGAGAAGAATTAAAAACTTTTCTATTGAACCCTGTTGTTCAATTTGTAACTGACTAACAGTTCGAACTTTTGTCTACACAGCTTTCACTCGTCCACCAAGGAAATACATTTAAACTTGCTCACTACAATGATATAAATCTTAAGCTGATTTTTATTCTATTTATATTTGTGATTGGTAAACTTTTTGGGTTCCACTCACCTTTTTTGTTTGTTTATCCTAAACTGGTCAAGCAGTAAGCACACATGTAATGATACAAACACACACACATTATTCAAGACACAACACAGTCCTAGATATAAAGTTTAACTATATGCAGGATCCAAAAAAATACACCCCGCTTCTTAAAAAAAAAAACAACATATTTGTCCAATTTGCGAATCAGCCTAACCACAACTAATATGTCAACTCTGATCCATATGTTTTGCAGTGAGCAGGCCAATGTCATTCTGCAAGCGGCTTCACCTGTCTCTGGCAGAGGCTTGTCTGGTGATTTACAACGTGAAGACAGACACTCCTCACGACATCACGGTTTGTCTGTACATGGAGCTGCGTGTCGGAACACGTCCGGTGGCCACTGTACATCTAGACTGTGTGAGGAAGTTACATCGACGTATACATTTCATACCTGTCAAGTCACACACTCGCAAGGTACGTCAATCTTTAGAATACAGTAGACTCTCTCTTATACGGATACCTTCTAACCGGACATCGGATTAACCGGACTACACTCGGCGGAAATGACATCTGTTTAACCGGACAATTTTTATCAGCACATTAGTTTAACCGGACTTGATCGGCAGGAAGTGGGCAGTACTGAAACGACTGTTCTCGTGGGAAAGATTTGAGACCAGTGATCACGTGTCTAAATACAATGCTCTCCTAAATTTAAGTCGAATATCACAGTAAACAGTCCCTTTAAATGAGTTTTTGGGGACGTCTTTTTAACCGGAAAACCCGTTGTCCGTACTGGCCTCGGTCCCGAGGAGTCCGGATAAGAGGAAGTCTACTGTATGTATTTTTGTCTAATATAGTGTGTTTTAAGCTTTAAATAAATTTTGAAATATTTTTATTTTGCAGGGTTCTCTTCTTGATGTACATGTTTTACCCAATGATACAACACTTACAATACTCAGGCAAGAGTTTCATTGGACCCGAAGCCTAAACAGTGACTCTTCAGACTCTGATCAGTCTTTAGAAAACGAATCATCCGAATCTGAATCCCAAGCAAAAGACTCATCTGAATCTGACTCAGAGATGGGGAACGACTGTGCCTGTGAGGAGATTATAAGACCTGCTCATCAGAAAAGAGTCGTTCATTGGCTAAAAAGATTGTTCAGTTGGTGGCAGGACTACCGTCAAGACTTTTAACCAAGTTCCAAAAATATTTTAGCCTACAGAAAATGTTTCATATAATTTTCTCAATATTCAATATCATCCTTTTTATAAAACCTTTTGGGAAATTTACTTTTAGTGTATTTTTTGACCCATTAATTTTTTTTACCCATAATAATCTTGGGAATATCATAATATTTAGTGAATTATTTTTTTAACTATCTCTACCCCATAAAACTTGTTTAAGTGTTTTTTGTGTGTTACTGTTCCATAAAAAAAAACAAGAAAAACGGAGTGTTCTAATTGACCAAAAATTAACACCTCATGGCCTGTTGAAGACTCCATAAATTGAGAGGTGAAACCGGTAGCCAACCCAGAACTACAAGAATCACTCCGGCAGTAAAGGGCATATATAACACTATTATGACAACTTTTCTTTTGGAGCATAATAACATGTAGGTGGAGATAAAAAAGAAAAAATATAATTGATTTATTTTGATTCAATTTATTTCATCGTAAACAAAATAAATTTAAAAACCGTGTTTGTTCAGTAAAAGGCCAGCTGACCATATGAGCATATTAAAATAATCCCCACATGTCAACAACAATACAATAATAAAAATTTGAAAATGTAAACATTCCAAGAAAAACATTCTGGTTCAAAAAGTGCAATTTTTCTCTCTTGTAATATCGTTTCTTTGTGTAACATAATTCATTTCTCTCTCCTTTTATTTTGACTTATTTCATTTACCTTTTCCTTTTGTGTTCATTAAATAAACCCTTTTTAATTTCACTCTAAATTCTGTGTACCTACTGTGAGAACATTTGGACATTAATGAAACATATTATCTTCTCAACTAGAGCCAACATTCGACCAGATCTTCTTTCAAGACCTTAACGTCATGAAGTGGTAACATAACTATAGTTCAGAATTAAAATTATACCAAAAGTCCAATATTTTCTGTTGTCAAAATTAAATTAATAACCCATATACAGTCCACTTTATTATTTCTACAATAACCTTTTGATTACGCTACATCTTTGGTCCGTTCGCGTCGGATTGTTGATTAACCAATTGATTGAACTAATTATGTGGACTTTTGGTGAAGATTAAAGACGAACATTACCTCATAAACTCTCAATATTGTCGTTCCCGCATATTGTGTAGGTACTCTCCCTCTACCTCTATCTCTCTCACTCTCTAGATCACAGTAGCCCAATTCACCTTAGCCTATCTTGGCCTACTCCAATGACTGAAAGACTCTGTGACATTATAGTCATTTTGTAAACATTATACCAATCCTTCAGTGTTTATATTTTTTGTTGATTGGTTCCGAGTTTTAGGCCCACAAACTATTTAAGTTGAACTAGCCTAATTCATTTTTTTATGTAACGAAGTGAAATAACTTTTTGTGTCTTGTGTATTTTGACTGTATTTTTGTTCAATTATGGCCCCTGTGAACCTAGCCCCAATTAAGGTTTGTACTTATAAAAGACTAACCAAACAATTCAAAGTTAGGCTTGGAAAAATTCAAGAAAATATAGATTATATTAATGAAAGTGCTAAAGCAAACAACCTATCCTCTGTGCAAATAAAATCACTTCATAACTATTTAGATGAAATCAGGAAAAAGCGAGACGACTTTGAACTAAATTTCAGGCGCGTTTTAGAACATTGTTCTGACGAAGAAGTCGATGACATTATTCTAAATGATGATGAAAACACTATTGGTGAATTATGTATACATCTTTGTAGTACTATAGAGTCACTAATCCCTATTGACGAACCTCAATCTCCCTCTCAAGAAATGGTGAATGATTCCAACTGTACTACTTTCATGCAACCTGTCCGCCTACCGCAACTTGACTTGAAAACCTTCTCGGGAAACTCAGCCGAGTGGATTAATTTCATCAATCTTTTTGATAGCGCTGTACACCTCAACACATCTCTGTCTCCAGTATCAAAATTTCAATACCTACTAAGCTGTCTAACTGAAGAACCTCTAAATTTAATTAAAAACTTAAACATCAGTGCATCTAACTACCAAATCGCATACAATTTGTTGCGCGATCGATACCACAATCACAGACGCTTAACTGCTTTACATTTAAATGCCATATTGGAGCTTCCCATTGCCACATCTGAAAATACAAAATCAATACGTGAATTTCTAAATCATTTTCTGGAACATACACAATCACTTATTGCTTTAGAAAGTGACATCACTACAAATGACAATCCTTTGCTGTCAGCTCATTTGCTCCGTAGACTTGATAGAAATTTACGGCAAAAACTTGAACATTATCGCTCATTCAAATCATGTGAAACTCATTCGTTACCATCTGTGGACGAAATCATTAAATTTCTCAATGAAGAATGCTCAAACAGTGAAGATGCCAACCTACACTCTTCAACTTTTTGTCACAAGGCTAATTCAAAGCCTGCCCTCACATCTAGTAAAAATTACTCCAAACCAAGCACCCGCTATACTGCACTTGTAAGCTCGGGTGATCACTCCACTTCTGTAAAGACATTTCCATCATGCTTTGCCTGTCAACAAACCGATCACAAAATCTACATGTGTAAGGTTTTTGCTAAGAAATCTCCAAACGAGCGTTACAAACTTGTAAAGGAGCAAAATAAATGTATTTCATGTCTTGGCAATCACACACTCAAAGATTGTCGCTCAACAGGCACATGTCTTAAGTGTAAACAAAAACACCACACCTTGTTACATTTCGAAAATGTTGTAAAGTCGGTGCAGCCTCCTCCTATAGCCAAACCCTCAAAACCTTCAACTGCTACACCTTCTGTAGTCGCTTCTGCTCAACCTGAAATGTCGCTCTCGATTTCTCAGCCTGCAACTACGGTTCTGCTAGGCACCGCTCTCATTAAAATTACCGCTACTAATGGAATCTCTCATGTCTTTCGATGTCTGCTCGACAGTGGAAGTCAACTCAACTTCATGACAGAGAGGGCAGCACAGCTATTAAACGTCTCTCGTCACCGCTCTACTCACACAATCGTGGGAATATCTGCATCGCAATCCTCGACAAAGGGACATGCACTCCTAGAACTATCCACACTAGGCAGTGAAGTAATTGCTTCAAATCAACCTTTCCATATTCTAGATAGAATTTCCGCTCCTTTGCCTCGTACTCAACTCGCTTTTGAAGTTTACGAACTGGTAAAACCTTTTGTCCTCGCAGATCCGACCTTTCATATTCCTCAGAATATTGACATTCTCATAGGAGGTGCTTTGTTTCCAGAACTTCTTACTCATCAATCCTACCCATTGGGCTCAAACCTTCCATTCGTTATTGGAACACGATTGGGATTTGTGTTAATGGGCAATGCACCAACTTTGTCTAATTCTTCTCCCACCTCATGCCATTCGTCTCTACTATCCACTACAGACGAGCTACATAATACTCTACTTCGCTTTTGGCAACAAAAAGAGGTACCGCAGTGCAATCTTATCTCTGAAGATGATCGTCTCGCTGAAGATCACTTCAAATCAACTCACTCCCGCTCTCCAGATGGAACATATGTTGTTCAAATCCCTTTCAAGGACCAACATCAACCTCTGGGCACTTCAAAATCTGCTGCTGAACATAGACTTCAATCAATTGAACGAAAGTTTGAATCCAACTCTAATTTCAAAGAATTGATCCCCTCTCACTCCTGGCGCTACGTTCCCTCAACAGACAACCCCGCTGATTGTGCGTCACGTGGTTTGCTTCCCGCTCAACTCATTGATCATCCTCTATGGTGGAATGGCCCTCCATGGTTAACTCTTTCAGATGATCATTGGCCATCTAATCGCTTCGTTCCCATCAACTTGCAAGACACTCAAGAATGTAAAACAACTCCTCTAAATGTCCAAGTTTCAACCCAACCTCCAGAATGGGATCTTCTCTCCAAGTACTCATCGTGGTCCAAACTACTTAGAGTAACAAGCTATGTCTTGCGGTTTATCCACAATGCACGTACCGGTAGCTCTGACCGAAGACATGGGCATCTCACCGTCTCTGAACTTAAGAACTCAGAGCGTACCATCATCAAGTGTGTACAAGCTACATGTTTTACGAATGAATTGACTCTACTTCACAAAAACAAACCCAGTACCTCTAATCTTCAACGTTTAGACCCTTTTCTGGATGCTTCCGGCATAATTCGTGTGGGAGGCCGGCTTAAGAAGCTATCGCTGAAATTCAACGTCAAACACCCAATAGTACTTCCAAAGAAGCACCATATCGTTGATCTTCTCATAGACTTTGTCCACACTACTCACTTACATTCCGGACCACAACTGACCCAAGCAATCCTTTGCCAAAACTATTGGATTCTTTCGGCTCGTCGAGTCATACGGACACGTATTCATAAATGTGTAAAATGTTTCAAAGTGAAACCAAAGAACATCACTCCAGTCATGGGAGATCTTCCTACCGCAAGAGTAACTCCAGCTCGACCATTCACTACCAGTGGCGTTGACTATTGTGGCCCTTTTGACATGAAAGTTGTCAATCTTCGCGGAATGCGTCATATCAAAACCTACATCTGTGTTTTTGTTTGTTTTGTGACAAAGGCAGTGCACTTAGAAGTTGTAGAAGATTTAACAACTGAGGGATTCATCGCTGCACTCACACGATTCATCTCCCGAAGAGGATTCTGTAAAGATATCTATTCCGACTGTGGCACGAACTTCGTAGGCGCTGATTCTGCACTGCGTCGAACAATCAAAAACACCCTGAGCACCAAAGAATCTGAAGAACACCTGTTGCATTTCACTTCATCCAGGAAAATAAATTTCCACTTCAATCCTCCTGCTTCGCCCCATCAAGGTGGTCTGTGGGAAGCAGCAGTGAAAAGTGTCAAATACCATCTGCGCCGTGTCATGGGTGAACACATTCTTACTCTCCTAGAATTCATGACTCTGACTACACAAATAGAGGCAATCCTCAATTCCCGTCCTTTGACACCATTATCTAACGACCCTAATGACTGTTCAGCACTCACTCCAGGACATTTCCTCATAGGATCTCCGCTGGCATCAATTCCAGAAGAAGACCATGCTGATATTCCACTAACTCGGCTCAAAAGATGGCATCTAGTACAAGCTCTCCACCAAAGGATTTGGAAGCGCTGGCAACTAGAGTACCTTCATACACTCCAGCAACGATCCAAGTGGACTCATAAGACAGAAAACATAAAAGTTGGAGATCTAGTCTTGATCCACTCTTCATCGCCTCCTTTGTCCTGGCCCCTTGCCCGTGTCACACAGTTGCATCCTGGCACAGATGGACAAGTCAGGGTTGTTGATCTGAAGACTCAACACGGTTACCTTACTAGACCAGTTGTTAAAGTGTTCCCTCTCCCTCAAAACTAAGCCATAAAACTTAGAAAGACCTGTAAATAGTTGTAAATAATATCAAAAATATTCTTCAGTGCTCCGTTTTTTACACAATTTGGTGTTCATTGTTATAAAACTATCGTTTTATGGAGGCCGGTATGTTCAGTAAAAGGCCAGCTGACCATATGAGCATATTAAAATAATCCCCACATGTCAACAACAATACAATAATAAAAATTTGAAAATGTAAACATTCCAAGAAAAACATTCTGGTTCAAAAAGTGCAATTTTTCTCTCTTGTAATATCGTTTCTTTGTGTAACATAATTCATTTCTCTCTCCTTTTATTTTGACTTATTTCATTTACCTTTTCCTTTTGTGTTCATTAAATAAACCCTTTTTAATTTCACTCTAAATTCTGTGTACCTACTGTGAGAACATTTGGACATTAATGAAACATATTATCTTCTCAACTAGAGCCAACATTCGACCAGATCTTCTTTCAAGACCTTAACGTCATGAAGTGGTAACATAACTATAGTTCAGAATTAAAAATTATACCAAAAGTCCAATATTTTCTGTTGTCAAAATTAAATTAATAACCCATATACAGTCCACTTTATTATTTCTACAATAACCTTTTGATTACGCTACAGTAATGGGTGACCACTTTTAAACCATAGTACCAAAAATACATTAAGTTCAGAGGGCTTTTTAGAAGAGTAAACAATTTAATGGTGTGGAGAACTTTTTTGTAGATAATTCTGTGTTTTTGGAATCAAAACAAAAAGCACAGAAACCCAAGGCTAAGTGTGAATAAGATAAGCGATTTAAAGTGTCAAGAGGTCAAAGATAGTGTACAGATGGGCAGCTGCTACGAAATGTTGGTTAAACTTGTAGTTTTTGCGGCTACCTGGACTTTGTGTACATCTTCAGGTAAATAATATTATAGTTTTTAACTGATTAAAAAAATATTTTTAAAGTTACATGTAGCCTACTTTCATTTGTGTTAAAAATAAGTTTAAAATATATGTTTTACAAACTACCAGAATATGTCTTTACTTATATATAGGTACATTACATTACAGTAAAACATGCAAGTTCAAAATAACACAGACATATTTACATTTTTACTAACCAAAAGAAAAACTTTCAAGAGTGGGAAATAATGAACCCCAAACAAGCAAATAAACATTAAAATACATATATTGTTCTTGTATTTTTTGTATGGAGATGTTCATAGTTATGTCAAATTTATATGCTCTGCCCAATTTGCTATTTTAAAATTTGTTTAAAAACTAAGTTTTTACTATAACTGTGGAATCTTTCTCTTAGCTGTGTAACTGACATAGTTATTGTACTGATAGAAATACTACAGTTCATTTAACAACATTTGGTAAACAGATTTAAAAGATAAGGCATTTGCCAGGAATTGTTAAGGAAATTGACAGGAAAGCAGGCTTGCCTTTAAATAAGTCCATAAAAACACATAGCCTACAAACAACACAAAAGTAGAAATTTTCTTAAACTACTAACGGAAATCATTTTCTCTAGTGGTTGAAAATTTCAACTTTTGTGTTGTTTATATGTGTTTCTATGGACTTATTTAAAGGTAAGCCTTGCTTTCCTGTCAATTTCCTTAACTGTTTTAATATCCATGGATCCTTCGGTGACTGCACTTTTAAGATTTATACTATTTACTCTAACGTATTTTGTTTTAATTTCAGAGCTGTACGATGTTACAACGATTTATAGAATTGATGAACCAGCTGGTGGAATCGAACATGGTGAGTGATTTTTTTAAGACTCGCTCAATTTTATTTCTTATCACTGTTAGACGTCTTATCAACCCAAGACGTCTCTGAGACACTGTATTTGGTATACCTGAGGACAAGCAATCACCACTTAAGCTCCGAAGATCAATATATCACACCAAGAGTAACACTACCAAATATCTACTTACAGATATCTACTGAACAAAAAGGTCTGAAAGGTTTACACAATATTTGTTGCTACAAGAGAGTGAATAAACTTTTAAAAATTATTTTGTTGCAGTGTTTTGTGGAAAACAAGAGTTTATGGCAACTAATTTGATTTTAATTCAGAATTTACCTTTCATCTAGTATGACTGCTGTATTATTTAACTGTCATGAAATAAAGATAACATCTAATCTTTATATTTTCTTTTCAACATGTTTTGTATTTATAAGTCTTTTATATGTTTACTTTCATGTTCAAGATGAGAGTCCAATGTCGGCCGAGATCCATGCTCGTACAAACGCCCTCGGACTTCCTTTCCTTGTTGCGGGGAATGTCGTTGGTGAGTTTAACGTATAAACTTTCTTTAATAGCCATTCTATAATGCATATTACGTTACTAGTCCTGAAAATAAGTGTTTGCCGGACGAGTGTGGTCGTTCCCGTGCGAGACTAAGTCGAGTACGGGATTATCATACGAGTCCGGTACACACATTTTGGACGAGTGACGTATGAGAGTTTACGCCATACTACTAAATCTGTACAAATCCTTATATATTTCCACCAACTAAAAGACTAAAAATCACTAGTCATAACCTCTAAGAGTGGATATGTTTTTGTTTATAACCATTCATTGCCACCTAAATACAGTACTATAATCAGCTGATTGGTGTCCGGTAAAACTCATTACAGTACAGTAGTACACAATGAAACCCCATTTGATTAAGCTGGCGTTAAACAGCTGTTTTCTGGACTAAATCCTTGCGTGGGAAGTTCGTCAAAATAGTGTAGTGTGGCGTAAAATAGTTTACACTAGGCCTACATGACACTTTTTAAAATATTTTATTTTGTTGTTTTAAGACTACCGGTATTACTGGAATCAATTCATCATTAAATTGATTTGTGTAGGAGTCCTATGTAATGGTTATGTTTTTTTATAATATTGCAATCAATGTAAAGTAAAACATTTAATCTAATGCAATATATTTTACATTGAATAGTCATTGAATAGTCATTTATTCAGTCTTTAAACAATACATTATTGTAATTGACATCGTCATTATTATTGTAAAAGATATAAGATGCAATACTTATAATTATTAAAATTTGACATGAAAATTCCAAAATATAGGCTGCCCTTATTGAACATTTAACAGGTTTAAAATAATTTTTAAAAAATAGGCAAACTTAACAAACTTAAATTATGAATAATAGTGAATAATAGTGGGTCTTTCTTAAAAAGGCTAATGGTTATCACAGGTGTACAATGAACATAGAGGGACAAAATTACTAACATTATCACAGATGGAATATGGTAAAAAAAACATATCAAAATAGTGAACATGAAATATATGAAAATTAATTACAGTAATAAAAATCCTAGCCTAACTTAAAAGCATTTAACATTAGCAAAAAATGAGATCACATTCAAAAAATTCCTCAATTTTGTAAAATGGGTGAGATGAAAGCCACATAGTTAATTTTCTTTTAAAGACACTTAACGGCAAGGACTTGACTTGGGGATGAAGCTTATTAAATAATTTAATACCTAAAACAAAATGACTGTTTGCAGTTTTCTGTAGCCTACAGTGAGGTACATCAACTAGACCCCTATTCCTTGTGTTATAACCATGAATGTCTTGGCGCAAATCATACTCTTTTTCCTTTTTCTTAACATTAATCAGACAATGCAGGATAAAAATATTAATGACAGTTAATATGCCAGTGCCCACAAATAACGGTTTACAATGTGCTCTTCGGCGAGATCTAGTTATGATTCTCACAGCCTTCTTTTGAATTAACAATACATTATTTACATGGGTACTATTTCCCCATAACAAAATACCATAACTTAAAATTGAGTGAAAAAAAGCATAATACACAGACTTTAAATAATTCTGAGGAAGACTAGAGCTAAGACATTTAAGAAGATAAATACACCTAGACAACTTACCACTAATGAAATCAATGTGTTGAGACCAGGTCAAAAAGTTGTCAATCACTAAACCTAAAATTTTTATGTCATTTGGTTCATTGTAATCCTCGACTCTACAGAGCCAGAGGTCGGAGTGGATATTCCCAGATGCGTGGCTCTGAGACTCAGTGATGTCAGATGTGATTGGGAGTTGGACAACTGGGACTGGACTGTCTGGGAACACGCACCGCTTCTTGACACAGGTGATCTCCTTTATCATGTTCAAAATGCGGTTGCCTTGAATACCTAATGCGCTGTGTGGTTAAATTTATTTTCATCCAAACGAGAGGCATATACTTCGCCCCAGATTTGTGGATGTAGTTTTACTAGAACCTAACAGATAGCAGCACTAAACAATACTGCTAGCCGCCCCTCAGTATTGCCAAATGGGGGGAAAAACTAGGGTGAAGAACTTGAATACACAATACAAAAATACCGCAAAGGAGCGATCAAGGTGTCTATGTCAAGCACAATTTTGAGGTTAGGTTCCTTCCACAATGCTAGAGTACATTCATTACCGTTATTCTATTCCATGTTGTTAGATCCAAGCCTAAACCACACTCTACAATACATTTGTAACAATCCCTACCACCGATAAAGTAGTCACATCTGAATTATATAAGGGAATCGAAAACAAATTATACTAAATTTAAATATATAGCCCTGGCACAATAAGCGGCAAGCAAAACAACATCTCACCCCAAAGTTGTTAGTGATAAGAAAATTAAGAAGACCTATACAAATCTCTAGGATGGTACACAATCTGGTGAACTGTCCATAGGGTGATACACAAACATCTTGACACAGGCAACCAAAAATACCCCCGCCGCAGCAAACCTGCAGACTAAGCGAATTTCCATTTGATTGATTGGATTTACACTGAAATGTCTACTTAAAAATATAGCATTTATTCCCGATTTAAATAGAATTAGTTTAACAAGTACTTAGGTTTGCTGCATCAGGGAGGGTAAAACTGTTTTTTTTTTGTAAAATGTTAATAGTTAGTAAGAAATAAAAACATTTTCCAAATTTGATCAAAATATGTTCATAAACAAGCAAACTACAACAGTTTACTCACTCTCCATAAGAATAACATGGGAATTTTAAATTTACAATTTTTTGGAATTTTCTCCGTAACCATTAGGCGCATAATAACGCTTCAATATACTAAATTATTTGTTTTTTTAAGCTCTACAAAATGGTTTGGAAATAAATTGCAAAATTTTATGTTTTTTGGGTCAAAAATGGTAAAAACCTATTTTTACCCCATAAAACCCCCCGTAAACACCCGTTCCCATGGTCCGATCATGCTGGATCGCGAACTCGTTCGAATAAACGTAGGTTTACACAAATTTCATCAAAATCGGATAATTTTTGCTCGAGTTATCGTGCTGACGGACACATATATATATATATATAAATATATAAATGAATTTGAATCGATGGTGTTTTTGGCCTCTAGGGACCTCAAAATGAAAAAAAAATCGGTCCCGCGTCCAGGTCTTACCATGAGTACTACGGTAATAGCTTATTCCCTATATGGGAAATTCGCTAACAGGTGATTTAATATAATCTAAAACTGGCCACAGCTGTAACTTGATGTTTTCAGGAGACTGGTCTGAACTGCAAGTGACAGGCCTGGCATCCAAGTACCTCAGATTTGACGACGCTCTTTTCATCCGCTTCAACGGCCTAGTACACAACCAGTCTTACATCCATGTGGTGTTCACTCCCAGCAGAGCTTACATCCAGAACCAGGAGAAGTTTTACTACCTCCAGCTCTCCAAGCTTCACCAGAGCTTCTTCCACCGCTGCGACAACCGGATATTTGAACGGTTCACTCGCTTCAAGGATCTCGACGAGAACATCATAGCGATCCATTGCCATAAAATTGCAAACGTTACTCTGCAGGTTAGAAAATAAAAAATGCTTTGAAACTCAAATATTAGACTACTTTGAAATTGGTATCACATTTTGATGTTCATTTTTGGCTTGGCAATAGCAAGTTTATGTTATTACGGACGTTTTTTATCACAAGTACAGTAGTATGACAAGTTTCCAAAATGTTTCTGACGGAATCTGATCCTGTCCTCAGATGAGAGTGTTTCATAACATAGTACACAAATGCAGATGGTAAAATGTTGTCTAGCTTTGGCTAGATTTGTACAGTGTGTAAATTAAGTATGGAAACAAATCTGTATTTTTAAAACCGAATAGATAGAAATATTCTATTTGTGGCAATAATAGTTAACAAAGATTCCGCAATTTTTCACATGAAAAATATTTTTTTACCCCCCTAACAGGGTAGGTGGTAGGGGGTGACTTATTTTTTTCAAATAGCAACCCCTATGGAGTGACCCCTCATTTTGAAGGGTTTGTCAAAAGAAACACAATGACGCAAATCCGAGGTGAATATCTCACTCCTAGCTAACATGGCGGATATTCCAAAATGGGCTTTTTTTTTACAAAAATTAAATTTTTCATTACCCACCATTTAGGCTAGGGGTGAAATATCTACCTCGGGTTTGCGTCATTCTTTTTCTTTTAACAAACCCTTCAAAATGAGGGGTCACTCAATAGGGGTTGTTGTTGAAAAAAATAAGTCACTCCCACCCTCTACCCTGTTAAAGGGGTTGAAAAAATATTGTTGATTAAAAAAATTGCGGAACCTATGTCAACAATCAATTCCACAAACAGAATATTTCTATCTATTTCGGTTTTAAAAATACAGATTTCTTTCCATTATTTGTGAAATTGGTGCTTTTCACGTACAATAAATCAAATTTTGGAATATCCGCCATTTGGGCTAGGAGTGAGATATTCACCTCGGATTTGCGTCATTGTGTTTCTTTTGACAAACTCTTCAAAATGAGGGGTCACTCAATAGGGGTTGCTATTTGAAAAAAATAAGTCACCCCCTACCACCTACCCTGTTAGGGGTGTAAAAAATTTTTTTCATGGGAAAAATTGCGGAATCTTTGTTAACTATTATTGCCACAAATAGAATATTTCTATCTATTTCGGTTTTAAAAATACAGATTTGTTTCCATACTTAATTTACACACTGTATAATAATATTATACTAATAACTTGTTTTTGCTTTGATTGTCACGTCATTGTTTTCATTATTAAAATTGCTACTGGAAAAATAATTGGACAACAATTATTTGTGAAGGGGGAGACATACTCATGAAGAAAAAATTTTATTTAGTAGCTACTCTATAGTTAATGTTCGTAATAGTTGACTAAACTATTTAGGCCGTAGGCCACTACTATTAGGCTGAACTATAATAATTCGGCCTAGTGATAGTCCTCGCCACCCTAACTTGCTCCCCCCTCTCCCCCGCTCCCCCGCACTTGATATACGGTGTGCGGCCTTGGGCTGCCTCAAGTTAGGGTGGCGAGGACTATAGTAGCTTCAACCACAATTACTTTGGTTGACCTATATCTTGAATTAATCTTAAATCTTTGTTACAAAAACAAATTTCATTCTTAAACCAAAAACACAAATAATACAAAGAACAAACACCTAAAGAGTGAGTAAGATAAAAAGTCTTGTTTCACTCCAAAATTCAAACAGAAGCCATACTAGTCGTAAGAACAATTGCTTGATTGTCTGTTATGTCTAATGATAGCTTTTTTGTAGATGGAAAAGTGGAGTTTTGGGAAAGTAAATGCAGAGAACTATCTGTTGGTGGAAATCAACAAGAATGGAACTATTCAGTTATGGAACACCAAAGCTAGGACAGTTCCCATGATGATGTGGGTCGACCCACAGCCGATACCCATCAATTTCTTCACCATAAGAACTGATGAGGCTGGCAATGCACAAGTCAGTGCGATAAATTACGGGAAAGGTGTGTAAATTGAATTACTTCAAATAATGGTGTTTTGTTGTAGGCTAAATATTCTTATTTATTGAGATAAACAATCAACCACTACTAGAGTTTCTCAGAATTTGCCTTTTGCTTTAGTGTTTTTGTTTTTGGTCTTGAGAGTTGTATATTTAATTTATATAACATTATAGTTTTGACTACAACCTTGGCAGCAAACCTACTATCTAGTCACAGTACTTGACTATTTACTTAATCACATTTATAGTATATTCAAATAGAATATATTATAGAAACATGTCAAGGTCAGGAGTAAAATAACTTAGGCTTAGTGAATCAGGCTTACTTAGTTTGAATAAATGGCTAAAATATGGTATATGTTTCAACGCCAAACCTCACATACAAATCTTTTATTGAGTTTCAGTAGTATGTTTGTTTAGGTAGTAAACAAAATTAAAACAATATAGGAGGTTCAATACCTGAATGTCAGAAGTGTTTTTGTTTATTTCAATTCCCAAATTTTCCATTTGGGATTAAGAAAATCACGTCAAACGTCAAACACAGTGGATATTTAACATTTTTCAGGACAAGTTTTGAGCATGGCCAAGAATGTAAACATAGCCTCGATCACGAGTCCACCGCTGGGGCTAGCCTCAAACAAGCTCTGTGTGTCTTTGGTGTATCACACACAAAGGTCAACAACACCCACTGTCGTCACAGTAGCCTCTAACACACAGACAGTCAACCTTGGGGAGTTGCGCAATGATCAGGTATACAACACTTCTCATCCCGTTGGAAAATATACAGTTCTATTTTAATAAGTGTTTTTTGTCACACTAAAGCATTGGTGGTCACTAAAGTCATCCTCAACTGGTATATATCATATTAATGAATAATTATAGTGGCGGGCAGGATGTGCATGCACACAAGAACACTTCCCACACCATCATTACTTTTTTGTTTTGCACAATCATCTGAACAATGGAACATAGGATCAATTTGAATTTAATACCTATAACATCTAGTGTTGTGCCATTCTTATCGACACAATCTAAATCTGTTCCATTTTATGAGTTGTTGAAAGCTATAAGTTACCACTTGCTTTGTACAAAACAAAAAATAATAAATATGTTCAAAAGTAAAAGTAGAGTATAGGGAATACAGCTCAAACATTCTGTGAAATTTCAATTTGTTATAACCTGGGACTAGAATATTTCTATGGGGCTGGCAAGGGATGTATTTTTTTATTTTTTATTTTGTATTGTAATATCAAGTTCACTGCCAGACGATGCACCCTTACTGTGAAATAGTTATCCTCATTTTCTATGGTGAGACTTGCTTTGCAGTGGATTTTATCAGAAAACACAGTTGATGTAAAGAAATCAATGGTTTCTAAGCCGCTTAACTATCCAAAATTATCTGACTCATAAAATTGAGCATCAACATTGTTAATCATTCAACACTATTTGATGTTTTATATTTTGTTCTAGGATGGCTGGAAGGTTGATAGATTCAAAGTCACTCTACCAGAATCAATGTTGGAAGAAGAAGTGAAAGTTCATATCAAGTCGATCAAAAATGAGGGTGATCTACATATTCAGAGGATTGCTGGCTGTAACGCTGACGGTAACATTGTTTCTGTTCCCTCCTCACCTACTCACCTGATGTTTATATTTTTTCTGGCTGTATTTTTTGTGCAGTTTTTGCCACCCTTAACTGAGTTAAACAGAGACTTAACCAATGCAAAAATAGAAAATTTCACAATTTAACATATATAATCTTTGTCTTAGGGCCATCAATTAAAGATGGTATGGAACAAAAAGTCAACAATAGTTTGTATCAATACCAGAATCAATTGTTAGTACCTACGTTGCAACATCTATTTGTAACTGTGATAGAACAGTAGTTATGATTTGGAGAACATTGCCTCAATTATGATCAGTCTATTGCGGTTGGACTAACTCTTAACTGATAGTGAACAAATCCCCAGTCAAGTTAGATAACAATATGATGTACCATTTAAGATATTCCTTTCACAGATGACGAGGACATTGCCACAATCTCGGTTCTGGGAGGATTCTCGACTCCAAATGACAGAATGGCTTACAGTGTGGCAGTGAGACCTTCTGCCGGCAAGTAATGTTCCATCAATTTAAAATACAAATATGTAGTCATTTGTAAACAACTGTACTCTTACAATAATTATTTGTTAAAATACAGGGTGTCCACAAAAGATTTGTACCATTACGTACCAAGGTTATGCTGTTACTAATCAACAAAGTATTTCCTTGCATGTGTTGGTTGTGTTAGCTACATTTAAAAGTTTAGTTTTCGTCATTGACGTTGCCGAGTTGCTTCATCTAAATGGATATCATGACATTTTTTTAAATTTAAATTTTTGACTAGTAGATACCTCAGACAAGTAGAACTCAAATTTTGAATGTGGCTGAAATGACCAAAACGGGTAAAACACCCTATGTTGAAAAGTAACAATATGGATTAGGTTTGAAATCGTACCAGTCCTTTGTGGACACGCTATTTACAAAAATTAATTAACATACAAAACTGATTAACTTGTAGTTATCCATTGGCTTGCCTACACATTCATTACATAGTGATGAAATGGACTTTTCCATTTTCATGTTGAATTTGAAGCCACCATCTTTTTATAAAAAATAATCGGAAATAACCACAAACTTTACATAATAGTTTACTATTGGTATCATAATCTTTATAATAATGTAATATTTCAGGATCTTTTCACAACCCCAAGTTTATAACAGTAGGAGACTGTGAGAATGGGGGACTTGTCTACAGTGAAGGGAAATGTGCTTGTCCTGCAGGGTTCACTGGGGATCGTTGCCAAACAGGTGAGGTTTATTTATGTTATAATTTAGACAGATACAGTGGCTGCATTAACAATTTGGGCCCATTGTCCCAAAATCTCGTTTTGTCCTCGATATAAGCCATGTTTCTATAAACAAAATCAAATCATAAGCTTTTTATGATCTTCATAAATTTGATACAAAAACTAAATATGATTTTCTGTCCCATTGTTTTCGCCTAGTGGGTCTGATGATGATTGAAGTGTCCAATCAAAATCAATCACCACTTACTATCTTTTATATATATTTATCATCTTGTGAGTTAACAGTACAAGTCATAGCCTTTATTTTAAATTTAAGTGTTATTAGAAGTACTCTTTTATTTACTTTCTGTAAAAAAATTCTTAATTTTCTGTTATCCCACAGGATGTGGCGCCAACAGGTATGGACTTGACTGTGGAGGCTTATGTTCACTCAGACAGCAGGAATGTCGTGGTCTCACTCTTTGCACCCCTATTGTGGGGTGTTTCTGTGCACCAGGATACAAGGGGTACCACTGTAATCAAAGTAAGGAATCTTTCCTTTCCACTATCATGGTGTCTTTTTCTGTAATCTTATTCTTTCTTCCATGTTTCATGTATTTACTGTGTTTTACTCTGTCTCTCTGCCCAATTAATCCTTTTCTTTTTTGTCGTTTGGGATCTTCTCTTTGTTTTTCTTTCTCTCTGTATTTCTAAATTTTTACTAAGTCTGCTTTAAAGATACGGAAGAATTACAAGTTTCAACCGCCCTTCAAAAATAAAATAATGTTACATTATGTTTGTAATGTTTAAAAACAGGCGTAAAAGAGTATTTTACAAATTTCCCTTCACTTATTTTCAATACTGAACAAAAGTTACATCTAATGTGACAGTGTGTTGTTGACAGCTTGTGAAGGTAGACAGTACGGCGCAGGCTGCACTCAACGGTGCAACAACTGCGCCGGCCGATGTGACCCGTACACCGGCGTCTGCACCACGGTGTGCAAACCTGGCTACTATCCACCTTACTGCAAGACAGGTGTATTATTGATAGTTTGTGTTGTGTTTAACTCGTTCGTTCCGATAATTTTTTCACCGATTTATTAATTTTTGAAAACTTCAACGTTTACCACCGGTGGTACAAGCAGTGATCCCCAAAAATCCTACATGCACCACCAGTGGACACCGTTGCTATGGTGAATGTACGCAACAAAACGGCATTTCGGAGTCTTTGTGAGTGTTTTTACAACGTAATCGTGTTTATAGAAGCCACATGAAAGTCTATGGTAATTTGTACACAAAATTACTTTTGACTGAAATTTTATTTGTGGCCTTGTCGATGGGAACATGTTAAGGGGTCGTCAGAGGGGTAACAGCTTAGTTTCATAATTTAATTAAGAATTGTAAGCTTTAACACATTGTAACTGTTTATTTCATCAATTTGTGAGTCAGCTCAGTCTGTAGTGCCACAGATTTAGAATCCATGGTGGTGATCCCTGATGCCTGCCATTAATATTTATAAGTACTGTTAAACTTTAGTGGGTTCTTCTTCGCTCGCTTTGCTGGATATGTTTCAAGCTTGGGCCTAAGGCCTATGTAAACAGGTAAATGCATAGTTGGAAGAGGACGGGAAACTCCTTAAAAATATATAAATAAATACAGTAATAAAATATAGGGATTCTGCATGAAAGTTAAAATCTGCTTTTTAAAATCTTTAACTCTTTAACTAAAATGTGTGTCTTGAAATTCCCTTAATAAGTAGTCTATGTCATTTTGTTATTACTGTATATTATTTTATTTTGACTCTTTTTGTAACATTTGTTCAAAAGTACTATATTGCAACTGTAAACGTTACTTTAACTACTACAGTAATTTTTAAACTACTATGAATAAAAAAAAAACTCATTCACTTCTAACATAAAAATAAACTTATGAAATTAATTAAGTAGTGTTCATTTTTCCTAAGGATGCACATAATGAATGTACCAAACATCTCTAATATGCTATGTTTGACCACAGTGTATTCGTACACCCAGTTTGCTCCGCAAGTAAATGTTTCCACGTACGGCGAGGCGACAGTGACTCCTGATATTTACAATACTTTGGGTCAGGGAAAACCAGCCTTCTATCAGGTGCAGTACAAGGTAGGTGAAAGTAATTAGTAGAGTATTTAGTTATCTATATCAGTGCTAATTGTCCGTAGCTCACTTCAATTACAACCATTTTGATTTAAAAAACTGGAAACAACTTTAACATGGGGATGGAATATCTAGTTCTTTCAATAGTCAAAGGTTATAATTACAGTTGCTTTTATAAGTCTTGAATACCCTATACCTTCCGCAAAGATTCGTGGCGGCTGAGGGATTAGGACGGTCGGGTGGTGTCCCAGCCCCTAAATAACAGTGAGGCCTCGCTCGACTGCTCTGGGTTTTGACCATGAGTCACCCACTAGGCTCAATGTATAGTTGGTAGATTTTTTTATATCACCAATCACCATAAAGTGTATTAAATAACGCCAGTTTAGTAACCTGCGTCAAATAACAGGAATACTGAGCCCAAACACGAAATAATATTGCGACGATATTAAGTATACATTTGGTTTTATAATAATAGACAGTTTTAGTGTCGTGGTATGCTTAATATCATCGCAATTATTTCGTGTTTGGGCTCAATGTTCTTGTTATTTGATGCAGGTTACAAAAATGACGTTATTTAATACAAATTATGGTGATATACAAACATTTTACCACCAACTATGCATTGAGCACAGTGGGTGACTCATTGTCAAACACCAGAGCAGCCGAGTGAGGGCTAATTTAGGGGCTGGGACACTACCCGACCGTCCTAATCCTTCAGCCGCCAAGAATCTTTGCGGAAGGTATAAAGATCTATGATATACTAATTATTAGAAAAGAAAAAAAGTTAGTTTACATAAACCTGAGCAATGCTGTTTATTCAAATTACACATTAATGTATTTATTATGTTTACAAATCAGAAATCACTGTTGCTAAACAAACAATGTAAATACAGACTTTGCTAGAAACATGATCAGAGATAACCACAACACTTTCCCTCATGTTAAAACCATTTCAATCAGGTTATTTCTATCCCATGTCTTTAGCCAAGGTCTGTGTTGTGGGTTTGTGAAACAGTCAGCCAACTGAAATCCCACTGACATGTGTTTAACAATCAGTTTGAAACTATTTGTCACACAAAGAAATGACACATCCAAATATGTTTCATTATTATATGATTTTCAGGGTTCCCCAGGTTAATAATTAGACCATTACACGACTGCTATCTCCGTTAACTTTTTTAAAATGATATAACTTCAATGCAGGTGTCCCGTGCTCTGCAGTCGATCGTCTACCGTACTCTGCCAATCTCTCAGACAGGTGATAGTGTACAAGATGTGGTCATAACGGGACTTCAACACGGAGTTAGATACGACGTGCGGGTGATTCTGATTGATCAAGATCTGAACAGTTATCAAGGCAATCTCGTACCTTACAACCAATTCCTGACCAGCTGTTATGGTATGTTACATGAAGTTTGTGTTGTCTAAGGTTTTTAAAGTTAAAGATAGTTCTGATAACCTCCCGAAGTGTTGTGTAGTCAAAACGTCCAGCTTAAAAAAGTAAATATTTTAATCAAAATTCTTAAGACTGATTATTCACACGATATCTTGTGGTCCATAATTTTTTGCAGCTCGACTTAGATAGTATTCAATAAGATGCCAACGTTTAGCTGGTGTATTTTTTCAGCCTCTTGAAAAATATTTGTTTTAAAAGATGCCCTTTTAAGAAGAATGTGGTATTTGAAGATTTATTGATAGAAAACACAATATAACAGCAAGGGTTTTGCTCGATTTACGTTTTATTCCAAAACCTACTGTTTGTGATAACAAATCAATCAATCAATCAAATTCTTTATTTCATAAAATGTACAAATTGGTACATGAAATTGTGTCAACATAATGATGATAATGATAATTTATTTGCACATAACATAAAAATTTGTGAAAATCACATGTACAGGTGTGCTTGGTATTGATTTCTTGAAAATTGTCAGTCCTTAATTATTCTAAAACATAAATTATTAGTTCCTAAGATGTTGATCACAGTCTTAAATTTAGTGCTACAATAGAACATATTCAAACATAACAAGGTATAAAATTTGTAAATCTAACGGTAACAAAATGGCAACAAAAAATTAACAGAGAATAAATATATGAACAATAATTTACGATTTTGACACAAACAAATAATTCCCATAAAGTGGTTGAATGTGAAAACATATGAAAGTAGATAATATAAAATAATAAAACTATAATGCTAAATGCTAAATGACTAGAACCAATAGATTATATTTCAGTATTATTCAAGAAATCTTGAACTTTGTAGTAGGCCTTTCCGATCAATAATCTTATAACATTCTCTGAAAAATCTTTCTGATACGCTTCTTTCATGTTGTTTGGTAATTTGTTAAAAAGTTTCATTCGCATGTAATGGATACCTTTTTCTAGAGCAGTGGTAGAGTGGTGTGGATAAACCAGTACATTTTTATTTCTTGTGTTGTAATGGTGTTGGGCTTTCTCAGTTGAGTACCATGTTAGGTTGTTCTTTACATGGTTTAAAATTTCATAAATATAAATACTTAATACTGTAAGGATTTTCAAATTTCTAAATAGGTTTTTACATGTAGAACCTGGCCATGTTAAAGTCATTATTCTCAAGATTTTCTTTTGTGCTGTTAGTACTTCTTTAGAAAATTCGGTATTACCCCATAACACTATACCATATTTTATTAATGAATAAAAATATCCGTAGTAGAGTGTCATTTTAGTTTCAATACTTGTGCAATGAGTTAGACAGCTCATGTTGTGACATATACTATTTAACTTCTTGCATAGCTGTGTCGTATGTTCCCGCCAATTTAAGTTCTAGTCACACACAACACCTAATAACTTTACTGAACTCTGGCATTTCACATCATTACCGCTAATTCTTAGCTTCAACTCTCCTTCCCTACTCTGTAAGTTTCTAAAATGAACTAAACTCGTTAATAAGGAGTTGTCATCAACATATGATTTCTTAACACACATGGTTTATGTTATTGTTTTTTAATGTTTATGTTTATGTTTATATATTTTTCATTCAGTTAAAATGGTTGAATAAAATGGGTTGTACAGTTCCTTGTATCTTGTTATTATATAATTTAAGGACGTGATAACTGGCGACGAGGAAAACCAAAATGGAGTCAACTGACATTACATCACATTTAAACAGTTACAAAAGGATAAGAACGTCAATCAAGGCACAATTGACTAAATTAACAAACAAGCTGAACAATCATGAAATTGATCCTAGGCAAGTTGACGAACGTCTAGAACTTCTGGACTCAACATGGACTAAATTTCTTGAAGTACAAGAGAAAATAGAACTAATAATAAACGACACAGAACTGGATGAAGAAGTAAATTACAAGATGGACATTGAAGTATTCATTAAGTTGAAGATTATGTTGAGGCAGTTGAAACCTATTTCACTTTCGAATACAACTCAAGAAATCAATGGTAATGCAAGCAACTCTACTGGCAATACAGCTTCAACATCCCATATTTCATTTGTACCTTTCAGTGAAGATGAATCTTTTGACAATTTTACAAAAAGACTTGAAGTACTTATGCACCTGAAACACATATCAGACGAAACTACAAAGACATTCACGCTACTTAATGCCCTACCTCCTACGTTACATCAAAAGCTCTACAACATTTGTGCACCTGAAACGCCACTTGAGAAAGATTATGATGACCTTATAGCTTTATTGAAGCAATACTTGGATCCTCAACCAAGTGTTTGGGCACGGCAACATAATTTCATAGTACGAGAGCAAATGATAAATGAATCCGTTACAGATTTTACAGTTGAACTAAAGAAACTTGTTACCCCTTGTGAATTCAAATGTTCTTGTGGAAAATCTACGGCTGAAACTATGCTACGTTTACAGTTCATCAGGGGATTGCGAGACGCTGAGATAAGAACGAAACTACTACAAGTAGAATCAGACAAGACCTTCCAGGAAGTCATAAATACTGCTAAGATAATGGAACTATCTAAAACTGAAAATTCATTGATTACATCTTCACAACATAAAGCCGAAATCAATCAAGTGATCTCAAAGCCTACTAATAAACAATAACATAAACCATGTGTGTTAAGAAATCATATGTTGATGACAACTCCTTATTAATTACACATAAAGGACAATATAAGGTAAATCGACTCATGTTCGGAATCAAGACTGCTCCGGCTCTATGGCAAGGGTTTATGGACAAAATACTTTCTGGAATTGATGGCGTTCAGTGTTTTTTTGACGATATTATTATTCAAGGTTCGACTGAGTCTGAGGCCCTAACAAGGCTAGAAAGTGTTTTGAAAGTCATCAGGAGACACAACCTCAAACTAAATAAAGACAAATGTAAGTTTTTTCAAACACCAAATCACATGGTAATGCAGACTACATGTCTCGTTTTCCTAATGAGCATCCACCGACAAATCAAATCGATCAACACGAAGCCTTTTTCATTAATCAAATTGAATCAATGCCTGTAACACATGAAAATATTGCAAATGAAACATCTAACGACAATGACCTAAAACCTCTTTTGAAAGCACTTCAAGATGGCACGGATTTAGAACATATTGGCTTGAAGAATAATGAGTATTCACTTCATGATGGCTGCATTTTTCGTGGTTCCAGAGTAGTAATTCCTGAAAAACTACAAGGAAAAGTACTCAATGAACTTCATTTAGGACACTTAGGAGTTGTGAAAATGAAAAATCTTGCAAGAAGTTTTTGTTACTGGAAACACATTGACCGTAACATAGAAGATCTAGCAAAGTCTTGTCGTCCATGCTGTTTGAAGCAGAATCTTCCTGAAAAAGTAGATGTCCATCCTTGGCTGGTTCCATCAGGACCTTGGCAACGAATACACATCGACTTCGCAGGTCCAATTTATGGGGAATACCTTTTTGTTATCGTTGACGCCTACTCAAAGTGGGTTGAAGTCATACCAACCAAAACTACAACATCTAATTGGTGCATTCAACAGCTCAGGAAACTCTTCTCTACCTTCGGTTACCCATTCACGTTAGTCTCTGACAATGGCCCTAACTTCACATCATCTATTTTCAACCAATTTCTACAAGCTTGTGGCGTTACACACAAATTCTCTGCCCCCTATCACCCTGCAACCAACGGACAAGCAGAGAGATTTGTTCAGACTGTAAAGAAACAGTTAATAGCAATGGAAAATGATGGAGGAGATTTGCACTTCAAAATAAATCACATCCTAATGTCACTAAGGAATGCCACAAATGCTACAGGGTCCTCGGCATATGAACTTATGTTTGGGAGACGAATAAGGACAAGGCTGGATCTTATGAAGAGACCCCAAGATCACACAGAAATGCCCGACGGATGTACTAAAATCAAAAGAGAGTTTCGGGTGGGGGACAGAGTTCAGGTGCGCAATTTCGGAAAAGACGGAAAGTGGAAATTTGGAAACGTAAGAAGGAGAGAAGGATTGGTGCATTATCAAATCGAGATGGACAATGGGCAAGTTTGGAGAAGGCACATTAACCACATTCGGCCGTGTAAATTTGAGGGGGAGGATTAATAAGGAGTTGTCATCAACATATGATTTCTTAACACACATGGTTTATGTTATTGTTTTTTAATGTTTATGTTTATATATTTTTCATTCAGTTAAAATGGTTGAATAAAATGGGTTGTACAGTTCCTTGTATCTTGTTATTATATAATTTAAGGACGTGATACTCGTGTTTCTAGTATTTAAATGAAGGTCGTTTATAACAAACCAATGTCAAGAGACACCAACCTTATCATTTCCACAGTACCTATGCGACATGATAAACCAGAATTGGATAATAGAATTAGTAACTTTAATGAGCAAATAATTGAAAAAATTAAAAGAGCAAATACCAATGTGAAACTTCTGGAGCTTCATTTATTGCCTCGGGACTTTTACACTAATCACGGCATGCATTTCAATCGGAAAGGCAAAAGGAAAATTGTGGAAGATTTATTGAGGATACTTAGAGACTGCTGTTTTAACCATTCTTCAGTAACCAAGAATAGGATCAACCAACCAACACACGAAGAGCCTGTAATCCTTGTTGAAGCAGATATGAATGTAATTATACACAAGTTCAAAGACCAACCAACCACTGGGTTTGCCCATTGTATCTCTGCGGACTTTCATAGTGATAGACATATGAGTGCAGGAGTGGCATCCTCATTTAAAAAGCATTTCAATAAACCCCTTGCTACAGATTTTGCTGATGAAAAACTAACACACCAAACAATAAACGGCACAATAGTCTACGGACTGGTCACCAAACCTAATTACTTTTCAAAACCAGCACATAAAGACTACGACACTGCTTTTGAGAACCTAACACGGCACATTGAAAGTAGAAAAGAGTTGAAACTACTGATCTGTCCACCT